GAAACAGAAGCCAAGCTAGCAAGTTAACGAGAACCTTGTAAGTTTTAAACAGAATGCCATCATTCGTTTCACTTGTCAGTGTATTCTCTTTCATCATTCTTGATAGATTATCGTGTACTGTGAATGTCTTGAAATCTCATATTCCGTCTTCTCCAAGGTACCATTGCGCCACAAAACTGTGCCGACCTGTCGGCCATGGGAATCCAGACCAGCGGTACCTATCATGTCGGCCACCCTCAGCCATTCCAAGTCTCCTGTGACATGGACACTGATGGCGGTGGGTGGACGGTCATACAGCGGCGCCAGGACGGGTCGGTGCCGTTCGACAACACCTGGGACGTGTACGTGCAGGGATTCGGTGACGTAAGCGAAGAACTATGGATAGGGCTTGAACACTTACACAGTCTGACGTCACAGCAGCAGCACGAGCTGTATGTGTACTTGGAAGACTGGGAAGGTAACTCTAAGTTCGCGCGGTACAGCACGTTTTCTGTGGGAGATTCAACCAGTAAATACACGGTTACAATCAGCGGCTTCACCGGGGATGTGACTGACGATTTGACCCCGGCAGAAGCACGTCGCAGCATCAATGGTAACATGTTTTCAACAAAAGATCACGATAACGACGCAAACTCCGCCAACTGTGCAGTGTCATTCGGCCCATCAGGGTGGTGGTTTCCGGAGAGTTGTGGTCAGGCCTTGTTAAACGGACAGTATCTGACCGGATGTAACCCTTACTGTCCCTGGGCCCAGGGGATTGTGTGGGAACACTGGCATGCAAATGGCATGAAATACTCACTGAAGAAAACAGTCATGATGATCAGGCCGAGCGGTTTTCCAGGTAAGTACTGGTACAAGATGTAAGAAGTCTCGATATCTGCATTTTTATTTATTTTGTTATTCTGTCACAATGAATATAATGGAGAGCGAAGTATGATGATTGTCATGCATGTGTGTATTGGCATGGTTTTCCTTACACCCACCCCCCCCCCTCCCCCCAGCATCTCCGTTTAACACATGTCAGAATGGAGGAACCATGGCTGAAGGAACACCAGGAACTGGAGTCTATACCTGTACCTGTCCAGCAGACTGGGAGTGGGCGTTCTGTGAACAAGCCGGTTGGTAACAAACTAAATTAGTACGTAGTCACTAGGTCCAGAGGGGAAATAATTAATAAGCTTCAAATCACCCATCCTATACAATGAAATCCTTTGGCTCTTGCTATTTAGGTCAGTTTGGGATTTTGTAAGATTTTCGTCGTCAAGTAATTTATGGGTACAGAATTCTGATAAATTTCGATTCTCAGAGACACTTCAAAAATTACTAGGAACAACAAAATGAATGAATCGACATAATCCATCTTCAGAATGCATTGCCATTGAAGCCAAAGCCCTTTGGTCTTGTGTTTCAGCCATCGATGATTGCGCCTCCAGCCCATGTACCCACGGGACGTGTGTGGATGGACTAAACTCTTACAGCTGTAACTGTGAGGCAGGATGGGAAGGAGTCAACTGTGAGACAGGTAAGAAAACCTTCACCGATTAACTCCTATATATGTTATGTTATATGTTTATATAGCCATGGTTATATATACAGGTTCAATTCACATTGTCCTGATATTCAAGCCTTTTTGAATTGACACAACTGTACAAAAATATCGGCATCCTTTTCCTTTTGTTTCAGGCATTAATGAGTGCTCGTCCAGCCCATGTACCCACGGGACGTGCATAGATGGCCTCAACTCTTACACCTGTACCTGTGAGGCAGGATGGACAGGAGACAACTGTGCGACAGGTAAGGAAATCTTCATTGATAAATTCCTATCTCTTTATATTTATATAGCCAGGGTTATATAAACAGGGTAAGTACAAATTACACGCTTCTTTATCAATATTGTTAGTAAATAAGTCCAATTCATATTTTATCATGAAAGTTAATCTGTGTTGGTAGTTACACGAAGTTAAAACTTTTGGTCCAACACAAAAAAACTTCTCTCACCTAGAGCTTTCGACCAGTCACCCTGGTCTTCCGCAGTAGTATTCATATTGTTCTGACATTCAAGTCTGTTTGAATTGACATACAACAACTGTACAAACATATCGGCATCCTTTTCCTTTTTTTTCAGACATTGATGAATGCTTGTCCAGCCCATGTACCCACGGGATGTGTGTGGATGGAGTCAACTCTTACAGCTGTAACTGTGAGGCAGGATGGACTGGGGACAACTGTGATACAGGTAAGAAAACCTTCATCGATAAACTCCTGTTCAACCACACAAGTGTTTCAAAAAGAAATTGCCACAGACTAATTGCCCTATACACTTTCCTTCGATAGAATTAAGAGTAAAAAAAATTGTTGAGAGTTGTGAGAAAACAACACTTGTTCAGTGTGCCTGTGTTTTTTCCCTCATCTTCAGATATCGACGAATGTAGCTCCAACAATGGACGTGGTCCGTGTGAACAACTTTGTACCAGCACACCTGGCAGCTTCACTTGCTCCTGTAATGATGGTTATGTCCTGAACCAGGATGGGCTTCATTGTGACGGTAAGTTTCAAAACAGGCAGCTGAAAATAGAAGTGTGTGTATGTGTGTGTGTGTGTGTGTGTGTGTGTGTGTGTATGTGTGTGTGTGTGTGTGTGCGTTCGTGTGTGTCTGTGCGTGTGTGTCTGTTCTGCTGACATACTCTATCTGAGGATTAAGCTCATAAAATGATTTGTGTTATCATCTAACTAACAGACAACTTGCTTGGTGCGTTACAGACATAGACGAGTGCACTGAAGGTGCCGACAACTGTGACACCCAGGCTACATGTACCAACACTGTGGGGTCCCACAACTGTACCTGCAATACAGGATACACTGGGGATGGGGTGGTGTGTGCAGGTATGGTTTACTTCTGTTTCAACTCAACTCCTATAAATTATTTTCATTCCTTTTTACGATATACAATATTCATCTGTTATTTACAGACATAGACGAGTGCACTACCGATACCGACAACTGCAACACCCAGGCTACATGTACCAACACTGACGGGTCCTTCATCTGTACCTGTAATAAAGGATACGCTGGGAATGGAGTTACGTGTGCAGGTATGATAGTGATGCGATTCTACAAACATTTTAAAATATGTCATAGAACATCACAAATATATAGCTGTATCATATATATATATATTACATAAAAATCTTTTTGTGTTGAGGTTGTTCATGACTTAAATCTTACAGTCCTGTGTCAGTTGCATTTTACATAAGTCATTTGTCAAGATATATCTTTGATTCATGATTATTCAAATATATCTCCAACTTTACAGATGTAGATGAATGCTACACCAATGCTGATAACTGCCACATCCACGCAACCTGCTCCAACATGGAAGGGTCCTTCAACTGTTCGTGTAATCCAGGTTACCAGGGGAATGGTACATGGTGTACAGGTTAGTCGTTAGACCTCTGCTTCATTATCTATAGCCTAGTACCTAGTCAAATGATAAATATAGAAATATGCCTACTGGATCAATTATTTAGGTCTGCATACGATTCATTTTAATAAATTACTGTTAATATACATGCTACCCCAGAGTAGAGCATTAAATTTTCTGATATTGTCTGTTAAGCACCAACCCAGCATATTTTCAACTATGTTCTGTATCGTATTCCAGAACCAAATGTACCTGGTGTACCAGTGCTATGGATCATCGTGGGTGTTGTGGCAGGTGTCGTTGCCATCGGTGCAGTTGGAGCGGTCGTTTTTTGCTGCAGGTACGTGCTGTACAATACGTCTGAACTCTCGTAGAACTCGACAATTTTGCATTGAGCTAACGTTAAGCTCAACCGTATCTATTGGAATTATCACAATGTTTTCTCTGCTGTAGTTTTTAGCTTCCAAAGCAAACCCCCTCCCCACGGCAAAGCGGATCAGATTTATACGCCAAAAATCAGTTACTCAAG